AAATTTCATTGGAGCCCCTATTCTCAAAAAAAAAACTAATAAATCAAAATTACCTCGTTGTGTTCCAATTAACTAATTAAATATGTCCACATTTTTTTTCATATGCGTCCATGTTGTGTCCCAGCCATTCATGACACCTCTAGAGAAGTGTGTGAGCTACTACACTTGTCCACGAAGATGAAACTCAGGAAATAAAACTGTGTTATAAATATTTTAGTGTGGGATCCACATGTAATGACAATGGAAGACTTTGAGACAAGCTTATGGGGTAAGCTGCTTCGCCATGCCTGGTGCCCACGATATTTTGTCGATAAATAGGCTCACCTTGTGTACCTACCAATGGTGTATGAAAATAAGAGAAGGCAGCCTTTTTCTTTCTCTCTTTTGTTCTCTCTCTGTGTTTTTTATCTCTCTAATATTATTACTATATAGATATATATCAACATATATTTTTATTACACATTATCAGCACGAGCTCTATTTATCTGAGATTTAAAGAAAAAGTTTTCTCTTCTTCTTTCTATCCCAACTATATATCTATTTTGTGATATTAGTTTTGATAGATTGTTGGGTTAGTTTGCTTTATCGAATAAAATAGTATTTCTGACTCCAAAGGGTAAGAAAATTTTAATTATGAATTATTATTCATAAAATAAATTGGTTCACTTAAATGATATATGTGCTTACATTATGGTCGGTTCTACCACCTTTATTATTTACTGATCCACTAATTATGGTCGATGTTACCACCTTTATTATTTAATGATTTATGGCCGATTTTATCGCCTTTATTGTTTAATAATTTATTTACTATGGTTGGATTTACCATCTTTGTTATTTAAATAATTTATATTACGTTATTATTTCATTTAATGCCATTTTATTTATATATTATGCTAAATTATATTTTTATATTGTTGTCATGTCTAGTTATTCTGAAAATGTCAAACTTGACAAAGCTGGAATTCGTGACCCTGGATATTTCTGGCAAAAATTATTTATCTTAGATTCTGGATGTTTAGATCCATTTGTATGCCATGGGCTTCGAAACACAATTAAAAAAGAAAATGATGCATCATTACAAGATAAAGCAAAGACTATGATTTTTCTCCGGCGCCATATTAGTGAGGAACTAAAAACTGAATACCTCACTGAGAGAGATCCACTTTGTTTGTGGAACAATTTGAAAGAAAGATATGATCACCAAAAAACAGTGATCCTCCCAAAGGCCCGGACTGATTGGCAGCAACTGCGGTTGCAAGATTTTAAAACTATTACTGAATATAACTCTGTCTTATTTAAAATCAGTTCTACATTGAAATTATGTGGTGATACTATTACTGATGAACTTTTATTGGAAAAAAACATTCACCACATTTCTCGTCTCGAATGTACTCTTGTAACAACAATATTGAAAGCTAGATTTAAAAAATATTCAGAACTGATATCATGTTTGCTTGTACCAGAACAAAATAATGAGCTTTTGTTAAGAAACCACCAGGCCCGTCCAATTGGATCGACACCGTTCCCTGAAACATATGTTGCCTCATCCCGTGGTCGTGGACGCGGACGTGGATGTGGTCGTGGTGGTAGAACTGGCCACAATAATGAGTATGGTCATGGTAAAAATAACTACCACAATAATGACTATACTCGTGGTAGAAATCATTCTTATTACCGTGAAGGATATCAATCCTCACATTTTCGCAATCAGAGATCCACACCATATCCCAAAAGAGAGATTATAATGAAATGAGACAAATAAAAGGGAAGGATATGGCTCAACCTTCCAAAGCACATGATAATACTTGTTATCGGTGTGGCATGACAGGGCATTGGCAAAGTATTTGTCGTACACCTAAACATCTGGTTGAACTTTACCAAGCCTCAATGAAAGAAAAGGGGAAACAAAAGGAAATGAATTTCCTTAATCATGATGAGCCAGTTGACATCATAAATCTGGAAATGAATTTCATTGATGATAATGAGCCAGTTAACATCAAAATCTGGATGTATCAGATTTTTTTAAGCACCGTGATGGATAGACTTCCTGATTGGTGATGGAAATGTCCACACCAATTAATTCTATTTTCTTTTTATGTTCTGTCTACTATGTTTTTATTTTCCTTGTATTAAAGTTTTTGTTTTATAGTTTGTATTAAAGTTTCTTTTCTGATAAAGAAATTTGCATGAATAGGAATGGATTGGACTATTTCCAAAATAAATGGAGAAGACATATGTCTTGCAGATAGTGGAACAATACATGCAATTCTTCAAGATCAAAAATATTTTTCCCACTTAACTCTGACAGACGCCAGTGTCAGTACCATATCAAGTCCCATCAACTTGATTGAAGGATCTGGAAGAGCCAACATCATTTTACCACATAGAATAAGATTACAAATCAATGATGCCTTATATTCTACAAGATCTTGGATAAATCTATTGAGTTTTAAAGACTTGCGTCGTAATGGGTATCATATTGAGATCGCAAATGAAAGAAATGTGGAATATTTCTACATTACTTCCATTACCTTAGGCAAGAAACTGATATTAGAAAAACTCCATGTTTTCTCTTCTGGGTTATACTATACAACCATTAGGACAATTGAATCAAATGCTGTGATACATAAAAAATTGTGTAACGAAAAACTTTTTATGCTTTGGTATGATCGACTAAGTCACCCAGGGAGTACAATGATGCGTCGAATTATTGAAAATTCACATGGACACCCACTAAAGGATTAAAAAATTATCTTACCAAATAATCATCTATGCACCGCCTACTCACAAGGTAAGTTGATTATCAGACCATCCATTTCAAAAGTCATTGTTGAGTCTCCCCCATTTTTACAACGAATTCACGGGTATATATATGGGCTAATTCACCCACCCTGTGGACCATTTCGCTATTTTATGGTCTTAATTGATGCTTCAACGTGATGGTCGCATGTTTATCTGCTTTCCACCCGTAATGTTGCATTTGCTTGACTTCTTGTTCAAACCATCAAATTACAGGCACATTTTCTTGATTATCCAATTAAAATAATTCGTCTTGATAATGCCGCTGAATTTTTTTCTCAAGCATTTGATGATTTTTATATGTTAATTGGAATTAATGTTGAACACTCTGTTGCACACACTCATACTCAAAATGGTATGGCTGAATCTTTTATTAAAAGACTTCAGTCAATTAGTCGTCCTTTGCTTATACAAACAAAATTACTTATTTCTGCCTGGAGTCATGCCATATTTCATGCTGCATCATTAATTCGTATACAACCAATTGTTTATCGTAAGTACTCAGCATTGCAACTTGTTTTTGGTCAACAACCAAATATCTCCCACATACGAGTTTTTAGTAGTCCTGTATATGTTCCAATTGCACCACCCCAACGCATTAAAATAGGTCATCAACGTAGACTTGGAATTTATGTTGGTTTTGATTCTCCATCTATTATTAGATATCTTGAACCTCTGACAGGTGATATCTTTAAAGCACGATTTGCTGACTGTCATTTTGATGAAATTGTTTTCCCACCATTAGGGGGAGAAAAGGCACAACAGCAACGTGATCTTACTTGGAATGCCCTGGAATTGTCTCATTTTGATCTTCGCACAAATCAATGTGAACGAGAAGTTCAGAGGATCATTTACTTGCAAAATGTTGCAAATCAATTACCTGATGCATTTACTGATACAAAGAAAGTGATAAAATCACATATACCAGCTGCAAATATTCCAGCACGAATTGATGTCCCTGAGGGACCTTCTGTTAGTAATGCAGCAAATACATCTAAAACACGTCTAAAGCGTGATAGACCAGTCGGTGCAAAAGATATTGCTCCTCGTAAGAGGAAATCACAAAGAAAAGCTGGCACTATTGAAGAGGCCACCAAAGGAGCAACATATATTATTGATCAATCTGAGACAATAGTCTTTGATAAGGCAGAGACTCTTGACGAGTCTCAGGTACCTAAAAATGATGAAATAAGAAATGTTGATGAGACAAAGACAACAGATGATGATATGGCCCTTGATGAGGCACATGCCCTTGATGAGACGCAGATACCTGAAAATGATGAGATTTTACTAAATTTTGAAACGAGATAGAATAGAAATGAAATTGTTGTCAATAACATATTCTCATATCTTATTACTCTTGATATTGATAATAAGGATCCGGAACCTCAAAACGTCGAAGAATGTCGACGAATAAATGATTAGCCAAAATAGAAAAAAGCGATACAAGCATAGTTAAATTCATTAGCTAAACGTGATATATTTGGACCAGTAATCCAGACACCTAAGGGTGTTAATCCTGTTGGGTACAAATGGGTGTTTGTACGAAAGCATAATGAGAAAAATGAAATAGTGAGATACAAAGCCCGACTTGTAGCTCAAGGTTTCTCACAGAGACCTGGTATTGATTACGAGGAAATATACTCCCCTGTGATAGATGCACCCACATTTAGATTCATAATACATTTGGCAGTCACAGAAAGATTGCATATGCATCTAATGGACGTGGTCACAACATATTTATATGGATCACTAGATAGTGATATTTATATTAAAATCCCAGAATGATTTCAAATGTCTGAAACAAAACCACGTAATATGTACTCGATAAAATTACAACAATCCTTATATGGATTGAAACAATCAATACGAATGTGGTACAATCGCCTTAGCAATTACTTACTTAAAGAAGGGTATGTGAACAATCACACTTGTCCATGCATTTTTATTAACAAATCAGAATCTGGTTTTGTTATTGTTGCAGTATATGTTGATGATTTGAATCTTATGGGAACATTGGACGAGATCGAAAAGACTACCACTTATTTAAAGAAATAATTTGAAATGAAAAGACAAAATTCTTCCTTGGGCTGTAGGTTGAATATTTTTCTTGCGGTATTCTCATTCATCAATCAACATATATATAAAAGATTCTAAGACGTTTTCATATAGACAAAGCCTATCCATTAAGCTATCCCATGGTTATCCGATCACTTGATATCAAGAAAGATCATTTTCGTCCTCGAGAGGATGATGAAGAACTCCTTGGTCCTGAAGTGCCCTATCTTAGTGCGATTGGTGCTCTTTTGTATCTTGCAAATTGCACAAGACCTGATATAATTTTTTCAGTCAATTTATTAGCACGATACAGTTCTGCATCAACTCGCAGACATTGGAATGGAATCAAACACATACTGCGATATCTTCGTGGCACAACTGATATGGGCTTGTTTTATTCGAAGGCACCAAATTCTCCATTAATTGGATATGCAGATGCCGACTATCTCTTTGACCCACATAAAGCTTATTCACAAATAGGATATGTGTTTATCTGTGGCGGCAATGCTATATCATGGTGATCTATGAAACAAACAATGATTGCCACTTCTTCGAATCATTCTGAGATACTTGCAATTCATGAGGCAAGCAGGGAATGCTTTTGGTTGAGTTCAATGATCCAACATATTCGAACAACATGTGGTCTCTCATCAATAAAAGAAAGCTCAACAATATTATATGAAGATAATGCGGCATGCATTGCACAGATGAAAGAAGGGTATATTAAAAGTGACAGAACCAAGCACATCTCACCAAAATTCTTTTATGCACATGAACTCCAGGAAAATGGTGATATTGATATTCAGAAGATACGTTTATGTGAAAATCTAACAGATCTATTCACTAAAATGCTTCCAACTACAACATTCAAGAAGTTAGTGCACAACATTGGAATGCGTCAACTAAAGGATCTCCAGGGTTGATCTAATGAGAGGGAGCAATTGATTGAAGAGGTATTGGCATACTGTACTCTTTTTCCTTTGTCCAGGTTTTATCCCACTGAGTTTTTCTGGTAAGGTTTTAATGAGGCAGTTTTTAATCTATGCAATACCATTTTCAAGATACACAAGAATATTGTACTCTTTTTCCTTCGTTAGGGTTTTGTCCTACTGAGTTTTCCTTAGCAAGGTTTTAACGAGGCATATTCTTAATGTAATATTGTGAACCCCAAGGGGGAGTGTTATATATATTTTAGTGTGGGGTCCACATGTAATGATAATGGAAGACTTTGAGACAAGCTTTTGGAGTAAGCTGCTTGGCCATGCTTGGTGCCCACGACATTTTGCCTATAAATAGGCTTACCTTGTGTACAAATGGTGTATGAAAATAAGAAAAGGCAGCCTTTTTCTCTCTCTCTCTCTATTTTTCATCTCTCTAATATTATTACTATATAGATATATATCTACATATATTTTTATTATACTTTGAACTTTTTGCTTGCTTTTATTTTTATTAATTGTTAATGAGATTCAATGTATGAATTATATATATACACGGATGAAAAGCAGGGGCAGACACAGGGGTAGGCAAAGGTGGGCTTTAGCCCACCCAAAAAAAAAAAAAAATTTTTTTACTATACTAATATATTAGCCCAGCCCACAAAATAAAATAAAAAAAACAATAGTATTAGCCCACCCAAAAAATTCAATGAAGCCCAAGTAAACTCAGCCACCATACTAAAATAAAGGCCCAAATCAATTCCTTAGTATTCATGTTTAATGTTAGCCCACCCCACCTAGAAATCCTGAATCCGCCTTTGATGAAAAGGGATGTCGTTCTCAGCTAAGAGCTCGAATTCTTACCACCTTGTCACCCACTTATTATGATTTTATATTATTTACTATAAAAATGTCATGATGACAGAACAATCCAAACAAGTTTTTTTTTTTTTTTTAAAGTACAAGTTAAAATTTTATTAACTGTTACTTTTATTTTATTGACTCAAGAGAGTCACTTTTTAGAATTTTTTTAAAAGTAGTCGAGTATGAAATTTTAAATAATATCTCGGAAGAAATTAAATATATGTTTATAGCTTTCTTGACCTGTCATTTAAAAACAAAGATTTCACTATAAAATTTATATTTTTTGAAACACTATTATCATGCATATACTATTTATCTTTTAGTATAAAAACAAAAAATAATAATAATATGCTAAGTGAATGATTGAATTAGATGTATGCAGTAGTCCAGATGATAATAGAATAACGTTAGCACCAAGACTGTAGTTCAAAAATAGTCCATGTGTAATGTACCATATACTATAGTATTACTATTTAAATATTATAAAAATATATAATATATATAATAATTATTATAAAATAATAATATATATTCTGTAAATAAAAAATACTTATATTAGTATAAAAACCGAACTATATATATAAAGAAACTTGATAATAGGCTGAGACTAGAATTTGATTTTATATCTTTAAGACAAATTCGCTCTACTATGGTGCTGACAGACTCTATAGTGTATGTCTTTCAGAATACAACGATCTTTATTTCTTCGGTAGTAGCACTGTAAATCGAAGAAATGAGTGAGCCGGCTGGGTGTAAGTACTCTCTCTGAACTAGACTCAAAACTCACATTCTAATACTATGTTTTATGCAAAGAAGTGAGAATAAGGAGAGGAAAAATTCAGAAGTAAAAGAGAAGAATTTTGAATTTTGGTGTAATTCACAAATGACCTAAATTGGGATATTTATAGGCAACATAATACCTTTTCGGGTGGCCTGAACCATCACCTGCACTGGATGTGATGCTTTAGTTTAAACGAAGCACTGGCTCGGACCAAGTGCAACCCTTTAAATGCACGTTCGGACCAGTCACACATATTCATTAAACCCATCTAAGTCCAGCCCAAAAAATAAATCAAGTCCAAACAAAGGCCAGTTCAAAATTTCGTTTAATAAAAAAATAACCGCCCAAGCCCAGGGGCACGTGTGATAAGTAGTTTGGACCCAATCTTGTCTAGGTCATTCCCTTTTTAAAACTTGAGTGTCATTGGGCCCAAAACCCAAATTTCAAACTTTGGTTATATAAACTCTAATTGGTTTCATTTTATTTTCATGAGACAACCACTTCTCACATTTTGCATACGCATAATTAAGCGAATTACTCTAGAACTAATTTCTCATTCACCCGGAAGCAAATTTGACAAAATAAATATATGCGTTCTTCTCTTTACGGAGAGAAACGCGTTCGTTTATAGATTCGTAAAAAATTCTTAACCAGACTTAAGCAAAAATTTGCCCAAATTTTCTGTTTTGTATTATCCGTTTTCACGAGACTCGTCATCAAATTAAGTATATTACGAATTATATTATATAAATATACATGCATGTTGTTTCGTGGTACTCTTACTCTTGAGCTTGGGCAAATCTGTGAGACTGTGAATTAGCCAGCTCCAGACTTTGTGGCAAACACTTATGCCTCTTGCTTTCCCCGGGAACATCATAATTGAAACCAATGAATGACCATGGAGCTTCTGTTCTCACGTGAATTGATGACCCCAATCTTGTCCCTTTTGGTTGGCTGAATATAAACATGAGATGTTATATATATACTTGAGTGAAAAAAAATGGGCCAACCTCTCTTTTATCAATTCAAAAGCTTTTCATCATCACTGTCACTGAAGCCTAACATACCACCGCCATCACCCGTGAGCACATTTCCTCTCTTCCTCTCACTCTGTCCTCTTTCCCTTTCCATGCTCATCTTTTATTATGAACCTAAGATTGATACTATTTAAACTAAAGAAAATTTTTGATTAGGTCCCAACAGAAGAAGAGACGCTCCTTTTTATCATGAACAAAATCCTCTCCAATCAAGTTTTCTAGCAATTCCATCCGTTAAGTGATAAAAATGGAGTAAAAAAGTAGTAAATTATTGGGTTTAGATATATTGGGGCAAAAATCAAATCCTGGCCTCAGTCTTAATATCTCCACTCTTTAAACCTCTCCATGTTTCTGTCAGCACACATCTACACAACAATTTCAAATTTAGTTTTATATATTTATTTATTTTCTTTTTGAAAATTGGGTTTGTTAGATAATTTGGTTGGTTTGATTATACAAAGAATAGAGAGGTGGTCAACGCGTTGTCAAAAGATATAGGTGATTTGAGTCCTCAATGGCAGTGACTGACTAGTCAACTCTATTTTCAAATCTCACTCAACTAAATATCCACAATCAATCCGAGTAGTAGAGTCCAAAATTTTCCTACTACATCAATAGCCTAAATTGATTTTGTTTAAAGCAAAACAACAAACTCATATTTGGTCTAACAATCCTACTAGTGGGGACCACATCTTATAAAGGTGGAGTGAAGAGAGTCTGACCAGAAACATTAAATTGCCAACCATATGAAATCAGAACAATTCAATGAAAACCAATCCACAAGTGAATTAACTAGACCAGAGGAAACAAAATCAACCTCTAACGTTGTCCCACTTAATTCTCATATAAGATTGATTTAACAATTCCAACTCTTAATAGACTACTGCTACACTTAACTATCATTTTTTTTTTTTCCATTATTTCAATCATCGTATGATGAATTAAAATGTTCAGATGAACAGTAAACACATGAATTCCTAATAATAAAGCTTTTATCATTTCCCATACGGATATATGTAATAACTTTTAAGTAGTTGTACATTGAACAAACCATCCCAAGCATAGTACAGTTGGCTAGAGAGAGAGAGAGAGAGAGAGAGAAGAGTGAAGAGAGTAGTAGTAGTAGTGCATATTAGGAGTAATTAACATGACAGAAAATGAGAGAGCTTCCATGGGGGGTGCCTAATTTAAGGGCACTTGGTCTGGTTCCTGTGGGTGGTCATGCCGGTGTAGCACTTCCCACACATTTCTCTGTTGCCTGAAGTCCCTGGTGGCACACACTTGCACCTTGCACAGCAAGTACCACATGCTCTGTTGCACAGGTTCGGCCTCGAGTGCAGGCTACACCTCCTCTTACACAGCCCTCCACAATCTAGGCTCACGCCAGGCCGCGGTGCAGGAGCGGGAACGAGAACGACAGCGTGACCGCGAGCAACGGCAAGTCCGTTGTCCAAATTGCCTAATTTAAGATAACACTTTTTTATTAGCTCAAATGGTTCCATACATTTCTCTTTAAAAGAGAAGTTGAGTGTTCGAACCAGAAGAAATATTGTGAATGTGTTTGATTGAACTTTTGAAAAAAAACAGGAGACGCTTTAACGTGCATGTGAAGAGATGTGGTAATAGACTAAAGAAAAATCAAAATGCATGCAAGAAATTTAAGAAATTAAAGGAGAATTTTGTGCAGTTAGAAGGAACATTAATAAAAATATAAAAATAAAAGTAAGTCTATCATGAAGACCTCTCACTGATCTACTGATTGAGAAAAGAAAAGACACCAAAAAAAAATTACCTTTTTCTTGGGTTTGCCTCCTGTTTACACCTTTCACAACCATCTGAAAAACATGTTTAACAATCATAAGCCCATGTCATATAACCATTGACAATTCAAGAAAATAAAAAGAGGGCAAGTCCCGTTAATTAGTGAGGACAAAGCCCGAACACTCAGTTATTAAAAAAAAAAAAAAAAAGGAGTGTATGGAGAGAGAATGTAGTGCCTGTCCAGGATAGGGTATGTCCTCAAAGTTGAGATGAGTTGAAACCTGCAAGAATGTAATTAAATGGGAAGTCATGTATGGTTTTCTTCTGTTGAAAAAAATATATATATTAATATCTGAAAAACCCAAAAAACAAGCAAGCAAACATTTATGTACCTCAGCGAGGAAGATGACTGTGAAAACAGCCACCAAAAGAAACGCCAGCTTAGCCATGACTGAAGGCGAAGTGCAAATAGCCTCTGACGCTCTCTTTATAGAGGGGTGTAATTTTCGTGATTCCAAAAGTGCCCTCGTTTTATTTTACCCAAAAAAAAAAAAATTTTAAGTGTCCACATTTGACGTTACGTTGCAGAGGAATGCTTTGGGCAGGTAATGCCAGGCTCCGCTATAGTGCTAGTGAATGACAGATGAATCCAGTTGTATGGAATAGTTGAGCTGATTGGAATAGTTTTAAACGCTCGTTTCGGATTGTTTAATAGTAGATTTTTGACAACTCTAATGATAAAAACGCTTATTTTATTCGAACAATAATGCCAAATGGGCTCGGATTTTGAGACCTAATCCAAAACTAATAAATTAGGCCTTCTCATATCAATTATATTAATGAAGTAGTAATAACTCTCTCTATTTTTTATAACTTAATAGATAGTGATTTAATTGTACTAAAAATTTAGGTTAAAAGTCAATAAATTACAAAATATAAAATTTTGAAAAAGTAATTATATGCAAGAGAATTTTAAATTAGAAGAATTTCAAAACGTGTAAATTTGATGAGAGAATAAAAAATGAGGTAATTATAAAATAAAACTAAAAGAAACTTGAATTAACCAATAAAAGAACTGTTATACTTATTTGGTAATTAATAAGAAGTATACATAATTCATTAATATATATATATAAATATAACACTAATAAGTATAAAAGAAAATTGCCTTGACCAAAGAATGAACAAAAGCTGTATCTATTATGTAATTAATGTAATACACGAACTCAAGAAGTATAATTAATTTATTAAAATAAATATATAAATAATATATTTATATTGGGGGCTTTAAACAATTGTCTTAATTATTTTATGATTGAGTCACGCATAGTTGATTCGGTCAAATGGTATTGGTCTCACACCATTGACGAGATTTATAAATAAAAATTTAAATTCTCTCCGGTGGAGTACATTATTTCGCTTATATAACAACTACTTTTATATCTATTATGCAACAACAATTGCACCTATGATATATAATAATTTTGCATACAAATAAGATAAGGCAGGTGGTTGTATATGTCAAGATATTGTGCCATAATAGTATAATATACTTACAATTAGAGACTTAATAATGCCACTAGAGGAAATGGCATAAGTTGTGTCAAAAAAAAAAAAAAATGGCAGAAGTTGACTTCTGTATTTTCATTTAAGAATGAATTTAATGTTATAATTATGAATTTAATGTTATAATGTTATAATTTTGTTTCATGTGACCAAAAGGTCCCTTCGTGTTTTTTTTTTTTTTTTTTTTTTTAACACCAAATTAAAAACGCAACAACCTCTTCGGCATCAACCTCTTTGGCATTTAAAGTTCGGTAGATACAATTAAATAATCCTTGGCCATTGTTGGTTCTATTTTTAAAATCAGTAATTTTTTCTTTTACTATATGTGACAAATATTATTTGCTGCAATAATAAAAATTTGCATTGTTAAACGTGCAAATGCAAAATTATAGATGGGATTTGATAAAATAAATATAAAAAATTCAACTATAATGATTATGACTAATTTATGTAAGTGAAAGTTAATTCTTTTTTTAAAGGTTAAAAAAAAAAAAATGTTTTTAATGAATTAATTATACTCCTCACAATGTTTTCAAAAAATGAACAAATAAAGTTGGTTAAAAAATACGAAGAGCTGCAAAGAAAACGACAAAAATCTCTGAAACTCAAATCACTCATCTGGGTGGGTAAGATGAGACCCCCATTGACCATTCATAACCCTGAAAATGTAAATAATCGGTAAATAAGGGGTGAAAGTGAAACCAATTCAGAAAATTCTTTTATTTCTTTGGAACGTAGAAATCAGTGAAAGTGTGAAAATCTTTTATTGCTAAGATGTGGAATGTCACAATAGCAGTATGAATTTTTTGTCATGATTAAAAAAATTATATTCGAAGTATTCGTGGACTCCATTTTTTAGGAGATAAGAGAACAAGGAACAAGGTTTATTTTTCTTTCAATATTTGAACTTAAAAAAAATTTAAAAACAAGGAACAAGGAACAAGGGTTTTTTTTAATTTGAACTTAAAAAAAATTAAAAAACAAGGAACATGGTTTATTTTTCTTTCAAAATTAAATTAAAAAAAAAAAAAACAATTGGTGGGAGACAAGAGAACAAGTATACACGGAGTAGTAAAGTCTTTAATGAAGACAGCTGGAAGGTTTGTAAGCATCTTACCAGTCGTCAGTGGTAAGCCCCAGAATCCCTAAAGTTAATAGGTTTTAAGTACATTTTCAAATCATAGCATCCCACGTGTTCATTTGACAGCTCATCCTCTGCTTGGTGGTGAAGGACGATTGTTTTTTGGTTGCCATTTTTACCCCTTGGTAAAGGACACAGACCCCAACCTAAAACTGGGCCTCCTCACCCCAAGTGCGGTACATGCATTTGGTTTTAGACACTTGGTGTGCGTGTCCGACTTAACCTGCTCCTCCGTACGACGTCACTTCGCTTTTTTCATCATTACAGATTCAGCTTTTTTACAGCTGTTCCTCCTTTAAATTTGGTAGCCAACCCACTCTTTGGATAAGGATTCTCTTCACCGTCACTCTGTTCATCTGATGCATCCGATGCGCGTCCATGGTACAAGGAAATTGCTTTACTTTGCTAGGTGTATTATATATATATATATGTGTGTGTGTGTGTGTGTGTGTGTGTGTGTGTGTGTGTGTGCGCGCCTTCAGGTGGATAAAGTTCCTAATTGCAGCCTTGCAGTAAGAGATCAAATAATTTCCTGAAGATGTATAATGTTAGTCATTGCACACTTGCACCACATGTTTTGGGATCCAATAAAGTGGACAGACATCGTTTGGTTCATTTGTCAAAAGCCAGGAAAAGATAGGAAGGAATGTTTCCCCCTCTCTTGGTACATCCATAAATGAACTATCACGTGACTCCCACCATTGCAGAATTTGGAAGGCTGCAGTCTCACCTCCGTTTTTTTTAAAAAAAACCCAATAATAAAATGAAGCAACTTTATTATTGTGCCGAGACTAGCCGCTCCTTTGTAGTTTGTACATCTACAAGGACTCTAAACAATATAGGCAGATATTGCACAATAAGAAAGTCAACATTGTTTAGGCATCTGATACATTGTTACATTATGATAAATACATACCCCAAAGATTACATTATGATACATACCCCAAAGAATCCAAAGTATATTCGAATTTTTTAAATTCTTAACAATATATATATAATATATTGCATGCATAAGCATAGTTTTTATCCACCATAGCGGGGAAAAAGAATCAAACATGAAGAAACATGAATCCCTCACAAACTGATTCATGTTTAATTCTCACTTTCAATCTGTTATTTTGATCTTTAGTATTTTAAGCAGAAACTTGAGAATTTGTCATGCGTGACCATCTCAGCATACTGGGAATACTCTGGTCTGCATGCTATTAATCCAAAATTGAGGTACGAAAAATTTTACTACTAAATTACAAGACATTTGCAGCAAATATCAACACTCTCTCTATTTTTTATATTTAATCAGAATGGTGTAAGATTACATACCTGCAAGACTAAATCTTTGCAAGCAGGCTTCCTTATACCCACTGGATCTGCATTTATTTCTTTGTCCCAAAAATATCTCACTTGTCGCGGGTCCCATGTGAACAACCATACGCCAAAGTTGCAAGATCAATTATCTTGGCCCGTAGTCTTTCTGGTTTTATTTCTTTGTCCCAGAATCAATTTCAGGTTGTAGTGGATTTCATACGAAGAACCACAGGCCACAGTAGCCAGCCATGCTGCACGATCTTTGCCTACAAGTGGTCGAATCAACACCACAATCATCATCAGTCGAACACCTGTGGTCACCACGAGCATCATGGATATGGCAAGCACTCTCAATCCGTTGACTGCTATGTCCAGAGTTCAAAGTAGTTGCTGGACAGACTCGCAAAGACATTGCATGAGCTCGTTTTGCCAGATTTTCACTCTGCACAAAATAAAATCTATATTTTCTTCAACTCTTAACATGAATGGTACAAGTGTGGACAGTTGCATTCTTAAATTGCTGTTGCACAAATTTGCATTTTTTTAAAGTCAAATCATGTAAAATGCAAAAAAAAAACTAAGAAGAAATTATTAACTTTTAATGTCTCTAGATAACAGAACTAAAAATATTTATATAAACTAAAATGAAAATACAACCATCCAGGAGTATTTTGAATCAGGTGACAAAATTTCACATGTTCAGTTGTGCTGCTTGTGCACATTTTCGTTCATGGGCCCAAAGATGTTTGAGCTGTATTTGAATAAACCAAAAGCACAGACTGCACCAGAACTCTAAACACAGCAAAATGATAACTTACAAATGAGTATCTCATTTGCCATACCAGCAGCTGGAACTGACGAGATAGTTTCTTCACAGTTTTTGTAACCATAACCAAAAAGAGTACAAAGTTCATTTAGAGATTTGAAAATTCAACTGACTATTTATAAATGATGTTGGGGAGGGGAGGCAAAAAAAAAAACATTCAAGTAAGCTGAGCATGCCATCATGAGAAGACGAGAGATATTAAGCAAAAAGTTCATGATAAGATCAGGAATCAATAAGTGGACGCGGTAGTAATGTGTTTCTTCTGACAAGGAGGAACTATCATGGGTACACTGAAAGTTGAAAAAACACCTTGACAGAAGTCCCGTTACTCTGGATGTAGGTTGGAATCCTTTCATGCCAAGAACTCATTACTGGAAGAGGGTGGCCTTCAGTCGTGAAAATATAATTCCGGTCAACCAAGAATGAATCATCAAAAAGAAGATACAGATACTTGCACCTATAAATAAAGATATTACTTCAGATAAAGTTTTAAGTGTAGTTAAGAAGTGATTTTTCATACTTGCATGAAGAAGTAAAGAATTCTTACAGCTAAAATATAGAAGATGATACTAACACAATTTGACACATGATAAAGACAAAAGAATCACTAAACCAATTTTTTATCTAATAAGCAAGGATATAGAGAATTCTCACATTTCAGCGAGGAAGAAACTATGCTGATGATCTTCTAAATCCATAGTAGTCACATCTTTAATGCTTGCAAACCCGCCTTCAACTTTGGTGTATAAATTAAGAGAATCAACAATTGATTCACCCACTTCGATGTACCACGGATCTGATAATAATGAACAACCAAATATATAAAAGGAGGTAGTAATTACAATAATCAAAAGTTCAGCCAAAATATTATAGCTCATCCTGCAAATGAAACACTATCAATAATATATCTGTACTAATAAACATGGATATGGACATAAGGCACTGCCACAATGACATTTTATTTTAAACTTACATGGACACACTTATGTAACAATTATATTTATTCATTTTTTTCTTTTTTAAAGTAGGACAGATAAATGGCAACAATACATAAAACAACGAAGTATGTAATACAATTCATGGTAAGTAGATCTAATGCTCTATCCAGTGTGATCCCCGTTAATCAACGGTACTGGGAGGGGTTGACTAGATACAAACTTAGCATTTATTTCGCACAAGTGGATGTTCTTAGGATTGAACCTGCATTCACACATTTGAAAACCCAAGCATTTTACCACAACACTAAGCAACGACACTTGCTAAATCTAATAACCTATAACTGTAAATGAAACTTGTGACTTATAAATCATAATAATTACAATCACTGAAGAAAACGACATGATAAGAACATGACAAATGTATTCATATGTTTTTTGTATGTACGTACTATGTGGATAATATATATATATATATATATATATATGCACACATAACTGGATTAATTCCTCTCCTACTTTCACCCAACATGTTCAACAAACCTTCCAATATTTTTCGTTCTTTTTTAATATGATCAAATTTTCTATATATTAATATTAATTTGATTTTTCTTACAACCATACTCCTTTTTCATGCTAGGAAATATTATTTGATGGACACGTTTGGTCTGTGAGGCATGAGCATTTTCACGAGCCAGTTAGAAATCATGACCCTCTGACTTTGTTGGAGGCATGCATCTAGGCATATTATGCAAGACAATAGTTTAAAATAAAATTCCTAGTGTCAACATAGGGCTGACACTGCTTGGACACGTAAGTGTGCTGATGGACAGTTACACACTTACGTGTCCAAGCAGTGTCAGCCCTATGTTGACACTAGGAATTTTATGTTGACTCGTGAAAATGCTCATGCCTCACGGACCAAACCAATTGACAATATCAATGTTTCGATATCCTATTAGTCTTTAATATGGTCTAGTGGGTGGATCGGTACACACCTGGTTCTGCCGGTAGGGTTAATTGGTCCAACCAAGTGTAAACTTGAGGAAAAAATCAAACAAAATTAATGAGATTAAAAACTAAATTAAGAGTTATTTTTTTATTTAAGTAGAGCAGTGTGTAAGAGATGATGGATTGGGGTCAAGAATTTGGACATCTTGTTGTACAAGATCAGAAGGTGAATGGAGAGTCCAGTATCATATATGTTCGTGTGTGTCTATTGTGATTGGAGTTTTCTAAAACCCTAATTCTCCACATTTAAAACCATTTGTCCCGAAAAGGGGAAAAAAATAAAGAGAGAGAGAGAGAAGAAAGAGACGAAAACACCAAGAATATTGGAAAATCTCCTAAATAGAGAAATTAGTTTGAGGAAACTTTTAATTTTCTCAGACCCCAAACGCTAGCTCTCACTCTCACTCTCTTTTATGCGATTTTCATTGTCTCTCAAAAAATCCCACTCCAAACTCTAAGTGCCCTTATATATCGGGCTACAAGAGAGTACTAAATAGGGTCCACGACCCGCAAGCAAAAACCAGGTAAAAAAATTTTCTCGAGCAACAACGGATAGTCGGGTCGCAACATGACCCATCACCAAATTCGGGCCACTAACATCACAGTTAACATTATTTTCTGTAGTAAATAATGGAATATTAACATAGGCACTTCTCTTGTTTTGAAGCAACAATATATCGAAGTATAATTACAGATTTTTGTGTATACTATTTTTTAATTACTAGATATGCCTGTTAGGTGCATGTCTAACCAAACAAGTTAAATATATTTCCTCTACCATGTTCAAGGTCATGAGTCCAACATGACTAGTGCACTAATTTAAGTCCATGTAATATAAGAGATTGAAACTGATTCACCAAAGAGAGAGTGGCTTTGAGAATCACCAAAGACTCCTCGGAGTCAGATTCTTGGTAGATTGCTTATAGCATTTCTTGAGGTGAGTTTGAAGATAGATCTGGATTTTTTTATTGCAAAATATAGAATTAGGTATATTCATAGTGGAGGTAAGATGAGGCGGTTTTCATGCTGACTTCGCTGTCTAGTCTAGTAATTTTGTCCATCCCTACGATGAGTACAGATGGCAACAGGGCAAGTATGGATGCGTTTGACCAAACCCTAACCCGTTCTGATTATCAATTCTAAGCCCCGACAGCGCCCCGAACCCGTAACAGGATTCCATTTTCAATCCCATCCCCATTTCAAGACAAGATCGTACACCTGTCCCCACCTCGTCCCAACCCGTCATCTCAGTTTCTCTACTGAAAATGGACAGAGAGCAGATACAAAGAGAGAAATGGGGCAAATGCCCTAGATGCATGTGTGTGTGTGTGTGCGTGTGTGTAGAGAGAGACAGATGAGATCAGATTTTCAGAGGGACAACCTATATATATATATATATATATATATATATAGAGAGAGAGAGAGAGAGAGAGAGAGAAGGATCTAACTTACTTAGGGCATAGGCTGAAGATTGAAGAGCAGAGGCTCCCAGAAGAAGATTACAAGGGCTGTAAGCCACCCATGATATAGTTGCATCTGCTGGTCGACCATACCATTAATTTGTGGTCCATCTCACGGATGATAGTTGATTGGTAGGACTGAGAATCAACTATCATCGCGGGCATGAAGGGGGGTGGGAGTGAAGGGGAGGGTGGCAGTAACACTAATGAGAGAAAGAGACTGTATGCTATATATATGCAAGGGCAGTTGAGAAATATAATAACTAAAATAATGACTTAATTGTAATTTGCTATATAATTGAGACGGGGTGCATACATATCCATCCCCGTCCTGAACCCAATTTAGGTTGAACCTATTTATCCCATACCCACGCTTACCCTATTTAAAGGCACACCATACCCATCCCATTAGGGGCGGGGCGGGGATCCAACAGGTCGGGGCAAATTGCCAGCCCTAACCACGAGTTAATAGAGTGTCTCCACAAGGTTGTGGACTGTCCAATTAGAAGTAGGATAAAGCATTAGTGTTGTAGGTTAAGCAATTTTGCCTAGGTAACAAACTTCCCCGTTAAAAGCTTCACTGTGGTGCATGAGATGCCTCCACATGTCAGAGAGACGGTCCTTCAAGAGCTGGCTTCATTGCATGAACTGGACCTGTCCATAATATTGTATATAACGGGGCAGGGTGGATATGAATCAGAACCCGTCCCCGCCATCCCTACTACTTTTATATATATACATACATATATGTATATATATATGTATGGATTTGTCACTAAACAGACGGGGCGGGGACGGGTTTAGCCAAACCCGCTCCAAACCCGCCCCGTTGCCATCCCTACTACTGAACCCCAAGTTGTAACTTTGGGAAACCTCGATTTCCTATAATAAGTAGGCAAGGTCAATAAAAGGCCAAGCAAAATCCAAATAATTTTGCAGCCCCAATTCCTCTCCATCTTTATATTTCCTCTTTTCCTTTTCCATCCCCAATGATGGACATATCATACAAACATGTGTATATATATTCAATACAACCATTGATCACATTGTACAATATTTTCCTATCAAGACGCTGAAATCAATTGAACAGCTAAATTGTAGGTCAAGTGAGACAAGAGCATACATTCAAAAGTAGAAGTACCAATTTTAATGTGCATCATGATTGTGAAGATGTCAGTCTAGATTGCTCCAATAAATGTCAGCCTTGTGAATGGACACCCCTAAATTACTTCTATTGTTAATCAATACCAAAAAGGAAACTTACAGTATATATATTTATAGATGAATACAACGAATATCAACCATAGAATAAGACGTAGAGGTATAATTTAGGAAGATAACATTAAATTTTAAATCAAAAAGTATATCAAAATTTGATCTGAGAAAGAAACATGGAATGTGGTAATTGGGTACATCGCATCCTCATACACAGAATAAGTACACCATGCAAGAAAGGCCACATGGATTTCACCTCTGGCCACTATAATACCATACAAGAAAGTTGAATTTTCTGTTTTGTGAGGTTTAAATACTTAAAAGGGGATCTTTATCATTGAATTTAGAAAAATAAAATACTCAATGGAACAATAAAAGAAAATCATGCATTTATAAAAAGCTACAAATGCAAACTAGTGAGGAAGAAAATAGCGAACCTTTGGTCGCTTGATATAGGTAAAATGTGGACTCTGCTAATTCAGGGCGCAAAGGATAATATTTCTCTGTTGGATGCAACATTTGATGATCCAGCAAATACCTAAAACATTACAAGTGTTCCCATTAAATTGTTAAAAAAGGATCATAGCTTGGTGTAGTGATAAAAACTCAGATGTTCAAGTGTGAGAATGAAGGTTCAAGTCAGAGACTCTGAGGGCAACCACATCGTGCAAAAATAAGCCAAAGGTTAGGTTTCTGTCAGTCCATCCATCCAAAATCCCAAGACAGGTTGGACCAATATTGAATAGTGGCCCACATATAAACTAAACTCAACAAAGCCTTGTTCAAACTGGGTCTGTACACGAATCATATTTTCCTTTTTCTCCCATAACGTCAATTTAAAAACAAAAACAAAAACAAAAACAAAAACAAAAAAAAGCAAAAAAACAAAAATCACATGTAATTGCATTTGCTGGTAGTGGTTAATAAATATAGATAAATATAAACAAATGCATCTAAAATGCAACCATGGCAAGCTATAACCAAGAAAGCAAAGGGTGTGTGGATATGCAAACAAAAACAGATGCAATTGCAATTAAATCTGCTTTGTTAAAGAACTTAAATATAACCAATAAAGCCAAGAGTTTGTCAAAGAACTTAAATATTTAAGTTACACCCTCCTAATAGCTTAAGCTTTTAGAGTAGATGGCTGTAAACATGGTATCAATGTAGGCAAGGTCTTGAGTTCAAACCTCACTGTCACCCTAATAATTGAAATTGAAAGGGGCCAAAAAGAAGACAGGCATGTTAGAGGGCTTAAATATTAATGTTACACCCTCTCTAATAGCTTAAGCTTTTAGAATAGATGGTGGTTAACAGAGATGAAGTGATACCTTTCAGGTAATACTCCAAACTTCTCCCATAAATAAACAAATTCACGGTGTGATGAATTAGCAGCTGCAATATCCCCAACAAGAACCTAATTTACATAATAAATATCACAAATTATTATCAGGTTCAATTAACACTCGAGAATATGTCATGGTCTTTCAGTTACTTGCCTGTAGACCAGGCCAAAAAGCTTGAAGGCTTGTGAGCTGCCAATAAGTTGCTTTTCCTGTCCTCATATCAGCTTCATGATACCTATATTACAGTAAAAGATTTTAAGTCACTCGCAAACTCTGATATAAGCACCATCTTTTTTCTCTAACATTTAGAATTCCTTATACAAATGTGTACTGAATCTAAGAGATTTGACATTCTAATGGTTTCATAGCTGAAAATTTAAAGTTTTTTCAATCTGAAAGAGGTTTTAAGTGTTTCTGTGCTATGCCTACTAGTTGTGAGATTTAGAATCTGAAGAAAGACCAAAGAAGTAGAGGATGTTATGTGATAATCATAACTATAAGGAAATATGATTTATAATTGAAGAGAAAATTCAAACATCTACAAGTGAATAAAACTAACTCTAACTAGAAGGGGCTCTGACATTGGAATAAAACATTTGCAATTTAATGTCAAAGGGATCCCGACTCCAACACTCCATTTCTTTCTTTTTCTTCTTCTTTTTTTTTTTTTTTTTTTTTTTTTTGTGAATAATGTATTCATTTATTTAAAAGTTATTATGATATCAGGAGAAGTGACAACCTCACCTGATTGTCAGGAACATGATTTTCAAATTTGGCAAATAGTTTTTTTTTTTACCTTGGCAAGAAACTCACACCCACTTTGTCCTTATCAAAGGGATCTCGACTCCTACGCTCCCTTTCTTTCTTTCGTTCTTTCTTTTTCTTCGTCTTTTTGTATGAATAATGTTAGCATTTATTTAAAAGTTATTATGACATCAGGAGAAGTGACAACCTCACCTCGCTGTCAGGATCATGATTTTCAAATTTGGCGAATAGTTTTTTTTTATTATTTATTTATTTTACCTTGGCAAGAAACTCAGGCAACCACTTTGCCCTTATGGGGGACATGAACCTCGACCTTCACCTTTGGAAGGTGAGGATGTAACACTAGGATACAACCCTTGATTTTGGTGAATGGTTCCAAATTACACAACTAGTCACTGCATCATAATTAAAATTTCACAGTTTACCTTGTCAATCTTTGTACAGATATAGACTCAATCTTAATTTAAAAATTTTGGCCAAAACTAGAAGGATATTCAACAAAGTTGGCCACTTTGATGCTCTTCACCAAAAATTATACAATGAATTTGGTATTGCCTGAACTTTGTTAAAATTTGGATTCAATAACAAAAGTCAGGGTATCCAAAGTCGCTGCAGAATTGTCAATTTGAACAAACTAGGCTTCATGAAGGGGGGAAAAAGAGAGAATAAGTCAAATTGATTTGTGGAGTAAAAACTGCAGCAAGGACAGAACCAACAGATATCATTAGTTTTCTTTTAACTTTTTCCCGAGTCCAACGTTGATAAGTGAAGCAACACAACCTCTTTTTCTAGCTTTTTTGTTCTTTTAGCTCGATATCACAGCTAGTAACTTTTTTTCCCCCAGTCAATACAGTAAGACAGTTCAAAGCGCAATGTTTTGAACAATTAAGCAGGTTCTCTATTTCCTGAAAGCGGAAATGAAAGAAAGGGGACGGGTATGACAAATTGAGCACATGGAGAAGAATATATATATATATATATATATATATATATATATATATATATATATTCTGGAAGATAAGTGGTCAACAGTACCATGGGCCATGTCTGAAATACTTCTGAACAGCAAGATAAGCAGACTGAAACATTCTCCAAAACTCATCTCTTCCGAAAAGAATGTGGGCTTTGATTAGATACTCATAGAATGAATCAACCCCTAAAAAAATAATAATAAATAAATAAATAAAATCCAGCATGAGAAATAGCAACATATACGCAATCTGTAACAAAGAGCATTTTAGTTTTAAAATTTTAAAAATTATTTTAATATAAAACTAATATAACTAAAAGAAGATGAGAATAAAAACAATCTCACGAACTATGTGCCCATAAACTAGTATTAAAGGGGATAAAAACCAAGACAAGACATACCAGCCCCAATACCAGATGAATATTCTATCCATTCCCCAGTTGCTACATCCAAAGTAGTTCCTAGAAGATTCAATGAACTCCGCATGCTCCATAACTTACGAAGAGCTTGCAAAGCTGCAGACTCAAATCTGGGGTCACCAGTTAACCGTGAGAGTGCTCCCATTTCAAGAATCAGTGAACCTTAACCCAAAAATAGAAAGTCAGCCTATTTCAGGACATAACATTCTTTAAAGGCTTCATTTAAACTGCAAAGTGTATGCTCCTCACCACACCCAGAAGTGCTTGTTTCAGTTGTCTCATTCTCCATTACTCCATACTGTCCATAGAATTTTGCATTGATGTGGTGTCATAAATCCTTCTTACAAACAAAACCATCAAACCATATTTATATTTTCTTATTTATTAAAAGTTGAACTTTGATAAAAGAAATCATGTAAAAAATCATGGCCAAGCATGTCTCTAGTGTAATATAAATATGAAAAGGCAGTTGCATGAATATTCTATGGAACTTCAAATTTGAGGACATTTCATATATTTTTGAAGTGTGTTGGGAGTTTCTAACTACGTATCTAGATGAACAGTTTCAACTAATGTCCACTGTACAAGACCCAACTTTCAAACTTTTAGCAGTTTAGAAAGAATGGTGCATTAAATACTTACCGAAAAAAAAGAAAATAAAAAAAGAATCGTGCATGAACTTCCCATTTGCTAACCTATTACTACTTTTTCTTATTTCTAAACCCGCAGCCAGTTAAATTTCAGGCTAGAAATGGAGGTGGCAATACCTTGCATAGAGTCATTCTGTTACAGGTTCAGGATGGCAGAAAAGTTTACCCAAGAGTCCGTCCCTCGCCACCAGTGCCACAGATGTATTTCCTACTCTACGAGCCCATAGACTACCTCTACCCTTCAACTCCCTCATGAGACGACATCTCTCTCAATCTCACAAGTCTCAACTCAGGTACCCATTTATAGAGTTACAAACACAATTCCTTGGAGACCAAAATTTGTCTAACAAGAAATTCCTAACAAAATATAACTCTAATATAAAAACCTAATTAAACTAGGAATTTGAGACACTAGACCCAACAACATGGACCATGTTAAATTATAACTTTGCGAAGGAACCTTAGTAACATAGCAGAAAACATTCTCCATCTGAGATAGACTTCCACTTCTACCCTCACAGTAAATTGAGACTGTGATGTCCATTTGCCTGCTAATGCAATTGTCTTTTTCTTGAAAATTTGTAAATGTCTTTTCCACATCCTTCTTATAAGTTCCTTATACTAGAATAACTTAAAAACTGCAATCGATTTCAGCCATCAGTACTACAAGAAAGTAGTTTTGACAGAAAACTAAGCAAGTGACGTCATCAAGCTTCAAGGATATTTTGGTTGCAAATTGTAATAAGTTGCGCTTTTAAAGAAGACAAAGATGAAGAGAGCAGTGATTCTTTTTAGTATTTCTTAATTAAAGTAATTGTTTAGAATAGGCTAGGTAACGTGTTCTATTTTATTCGAATTTAAAGTTATGGGAGAGAAAAACTAAAGATTATAATGATAATTAGTGCATCAAGGGTGAGGATCCAAGGTTCTCAGAAAAAGATTATGGAATTGGAAGGTGGTCAGAAAGGAAGTTTATATTTTAAAAATAAAAAATGGTAACATAGAGAGATTAGAAAACAATTTTTTTTTTATGCAGGATTGGGGTGTGAGGTAAAAATAGATTAACATCTCCCTCCATTACCTTTCTTTTCTTTTCCTTCCATTTCCATTGTACCAAACTGGCCCTAAGGGAGATGAAAATGAGAAGGGTTAATCTATTTGAAAGTGTTTAGAGGATGATTGTCAGTGATGGTCGACAAAATTGTTCTTATTGACAAACTACACATAGAAGTAGTAACTATATGTAAAAATAAAAGGAAAAATTCAAAGTTGTACAAATTGTCATATCAAATTAATGAGTCATACCAAGAAATTTTGGGAAAGAGTTCTTAACTAACGACTAAGACATTGAACTACATTGCAAGACAATCAATTCAATTTACACTGAGAAGGTCGTAATGAAAAGAAAGCGAGATGAAAAAAGATCTTCGTATGACTTTTATAGATTTGGAGAAAGCTTTTTATAAAGTCCCTAGAGAAGCAATATAATGGATTTTAGTAAAGAAAAGAGAAATATCTAGACGTAGTAACATGGAACTGTAACCGTAGTAACATGGAACTGTAACCGTAGTAACAACAATTATAGGAGAAACAAGTGAACTTTTTTATTATTGAATGCTTATCAACATTAAGTACCTTAATTATAAATGAACTAGCAAAACCAATTCAATACGAGATTCCATTATGTGTACTGTCTTTTGATGATATTGTTTTAATTGATGAAATTTAAGTAAGATAAGTGCAAAATTAGATGGTTAGAGATAAGGCCTAGAATCAAAAGAGTTTTAAGATAAGTAGAAAAAAAGCTGAATATATAAAATGTAATTTTACCTCTAGAAATACAAGAATATTTTTTTTTTTTTATAAGTCTAGAAATACAAGAAGATTAAGGATCTAGAGAGACCAAAATGTGAATGTTTTCATTAAATAAGCTCAATTATTTATAAAAAAAGGAAAAAATGGAAATGATGTTATTCATAATTAAAACAGAATGGGCTAATACTTCTGGCATTTTGTGTGATCGATTGCAAATCAAATCAATGACACTTCGATTATACTAGTTTCATTCTCTACCAAGATACATCACAAAGCTATTGTGCTCCCAGCTCAGAGAAAGGCCTCCTTAATAATCAAGTCAATGCCAGTTTCAGGGAAGAGTCTATATTCGCAAACTTTCATCTTGTATAATCCTTCAATTATTCAGCCCATCATCAACATGACAATTATAATGACAATGTCCAACGCCAGTATAGACCACTATTCTGATTCTGCCATCCATTGAGACAGAGATAAGCTGGGACGAGGTTTTCTTTTCTTTTCTTTTTTTTAATAGCTCAAGTTGCTTTTCCACTTTCAAACATCCATTGTTGAACTTCGTTTTTTTTTTGGATAAGTATCCATTGTTGAACTTCGTTGAATGGAAGTTGACCATTTTTGTGGGATAAGATTTTTACTATTAATCCAATTGAAATCATACCACAAATTCATCCTCTTAAAAGAGATGAACACCTCCAAATTAAATGGGGAAAAAAAAAAAAAAAGAAGAAGAATTAAAGATTAATTTTAAAATACCTTTTCTACAAACCCCTACATGGGGAATTCATTAATTCCAAAAGCAAAATGTAGATCTAAGCTACACTCGCAGTAGCATTTCATATCAGGAGACAGAAATATAATGCCGCCTCCTCTTCTGTAGAGATAACCCTATGTATATGCAACGGAAAATTCTCACAGCTTAGCTCCCTCTTCGTAAGATAACAGTGTTAAAGCAAAGGAGTCTCAGCCTAGATGAGTCTCATGCACTCGACTACAGTCCTATAGGCCCAATCATGGCTCTCTAAGTAAGCAAGTGGACCGTTAAGTAGTTCCAAGCGTCTGAAGTCGTATCCTGATGCAAAGAGGGCTCTCCGTTGGCAGAGAAACATTAAAAATCTTTTAGCTTTTCCCTGACAGGGCCATATCAACTTTGATAAGAAAATTACTTCTTTATAGTAAAAGCATGAGTCCCACTTGTGTGCAGGGGAGGTCATTAATTGTTTTAGTTGAAACTATCCCTTTCCATTTGGAACCACCCACTCACCTATTGCAGTATGGAACTTGAATCACTCCCTATCCCACTTATTGACGAGCGTTATATGAAGAGGTGGCTTCTAATTCAAGATCGCTCAATTGGCCTCTGGCTGATTCCTTGTAGTTTCACACTGACCTTTTTGGATTCCATCCTGAGGTCAAGTTTAGCTAATGGCTGCACATGTCATTATATTTAGCCAGAATTACTTATACAATTGCAATATCTTACAATTGTATCATCGTCCATGCAAGTCATGCACACATTTATTATAATGATACCTGCTATTTGAAGATCTACAACCATGTTAGGTCAAAAAGTTGAAACAACATGAGTGGAAGTGCGGAACATGGTATACAATGCTACATTTCATGATTCAAAAGAGATAAAACTTTACAAGGGTGAAATTGGTGTATATATACCCAGAATACGTAACAGTTGATATACTAATTTGGAATCGGAAATTCTATTCTTTAACTTAAGCATGATATAGAAAGCACCTTTAAGTTGATCCATGCATATGGCAATCCAGTTGGGGTATCAAAAGCAGGTAGGAAACGTCGCCCTAAATCCTCAGCCAAAAAAAGAAGCTGATTCTTGTACAATCCTTGAACCAACCTACTTGTAGAATCAGTTGCAAGAATATGAGAAGAAACAAGTCCTCCAAGAACTCTTATGTTGCACTACACGACAACAACCAAGTGAAGAAACATCATTAAATCACAATTAAAAAGCAACAAATCCCAAGAAAGTTAAAATGATATTAGATGAAGCTTTGAGTCAAAACAATTTAGGGTAGATTACACTGACCTCCCCTGAGGTTTTGCCAAATCACAATTGGATAGACCGTTTGGTGTTTATTACTCTCACCTCCCCTAAGGCCGTTAGTTGACTAACAGATGTTAAATGTGAGTGTAAAAAGTCCATTATGCCCTTATTTGTAATAATTAATTTTATAATACAAATATCTTACACCCAGTAAATTATTCTTGCTCCTCTCTCTTCTTCTCCACTTCAGCCCCCATCAACTTCTCCAGCCGCCCATCTCCATCCACAGTTGCCATGGCCACCATACCACATCTCTTTCTTCTCACCTTTCTATCTCTTAAGGAGCAAATCACAAATACATTAATATATATGTATATGTATATGTAATACCCAAAACATATTTTCTCTCGCTTGGTTGACACCCATTTTGGGCCTGTTTATAAGCATCTACCTCTCTCCTCTCCACCTATTCCCACTGTCACTTTCTCCAGCTGCAGCTATCTCCACCCACCACTGCAATCACCATACCACCTCTCCTCTCCTCTCCTCTCTCAACAGCAAATCACATATAAATTAATATATACATATATATATATATACACACACACACATCTGATTGGTAGAAACCCATTTTGGGTTTGGGTCTGTTCATGAGAATTTGCCATAGGACTATATAAAGATATATAAACATTGTCTCTCTGTAAATATATGTATACAGTACACACACACATACACATATATATGTGTGAGTCTCTCCTCTTCCTCAAAAGACTTTCACTTGGTGATGGTTCTTCTTCGACAAATAAGGGATATGATAAAAGATGACAAAAGAAATATTACAGATTAGTCTACTCATCATCTGCAATATATATACACACACAATCCACTGTAATTGCGCACTTGGTGTTGGGGAAATTTGGAAATTAATTGGTCAAGTTATTTAGGGCATACAAAATTGATGTATATGTGTATAGGTGATAAATATACATACTTCAATATGTAAATCCACATGAATTTGGGAGAGATTGAAACCATCATCAGTATGTAAATCCGCATGAATTTGGGAGAGATTAAAACTGTGATGGATGCTACTTAGATTGGATGATGAGTTGCGACAGATTGGTTGAGAGAGATTGAAATCAACTTTAAGGCTATTGTTGTCTTTTCACACAAGAGAAGGGCAATATGGCCATTTTATAATTTTTTGTTAACAGTTGTAACAGATAGAAAACAGCAGGGGTGTCTTTGAGCATACATGTCATACCTCAGGGGAGATTAAAATAATAAGTCTCAAACGCACTATCAAAGTGTAATTTGACAAAACCTCAGGGGAGGTCAGTGTAACTTACCCAACAATTTAAGTAAAACAAAGCTTTTAAATGGAACTTTTCAATTGCATACCTCAAAAAGATTTATCCTTGCATCAACATCAAATGTTAGATTGTCGGAAAGCCAAAGAACAGCCTTTTCAAATTCCGTATTGTTACCCATGATTACAAGGCTGAGGGGGAGAGAGAGAGTATCAGAATAAAAATTCATCATAACATTTTCACAGTAGTGGATATCACCGTGTGTGTGTGTGTGTGTGTGTGTGTGTGTATTAATACTAATGGCAACACAGACAGAATCTAGAAATATAACAAAATCCTTGTTAAATACCTTTTTATGATAACTAACTACATCTTTATTAAATATAAACTACCAACGGGCCAGTGGCCTAGCGGTATCAGCCTCTTACCTCCCAAAGGGAGGTCAAGGGTTCAAGTCTCAGAAAAGACAAGTGTGTGTGAGTACCAACTAGGAGAATATATATATATATATATATATATATATATATATATATAAACTTGTTTCTAAAGAAATATATCTTACCTGGACAATGACTCGATAAGTGTAAGGGCTGATCCATTATACTTTTGCGGTAAGTATTCAAGCTAAAAATTGAGACAGTATACGGTTAAATTATCCATCTGTAGCTGATGAGAATTGAAGTTCTCAAGCAAGCAATAATTACCTTCAAATTTCCAAGCTCGCTAAGAGAGTTGGTGAAAGTTTTCGTAAGGGGCTTCAGCTCATCATGCTGCGGAACAACAGAATAAAACTTGACATTTCATGCAATAAGATAATGTATCAATCTGGAATTCTAAATTGGGAGCTTGAACAGACCGGAAATGCGTAAGTCATGTAGTTGTCATATGCATGGTAAAACCTGAAAAGGGAGGAAAAACAACTTTACTGTCAAAAACAAGTTCCCTGTATTGATTAGCCAACAAAGAGATTCCAATAAATATAAAATAAAAAAGTGTAAGCCTTTTTTTCCGCTTCTCTACTTGCATAGGTCTTTCAGTAATACACAATATTGTTGACAATAGCTTCAGATAAACCCTTGGGCTTACTCTGATTATAAAGAGAACAAGGTAAAATAAGACGAGGAAAATAACACCCACACTTACATAATCTACTGTTTGGTTCATGGGGGTGTAAAACTTAAACCTACTACACCAAAATGCAGCTGAAGACTTAATTGAGTCATGTTATCCTCCCCCATCCTCCTCCTCTTCTCTCTCTTTTCAATCACTTAGCATGAAGTAGCCACTTTGTGCAAGTGTGTTGGAGGTCAAAAGTTTAGGGTCTGTACAATGTCCACACCTCCCAACACCCTTATAAAAAACAATATTCTATCAGCTAATTGCATCTCTTTTCCGTTCTCATGACCAAACCACCATAAGAAAAATAAGGATGCCACATGCAACAAATGTTATTTGTGGGCAACATGAAAGTCAATGCCAGGGACGATAATCTCCAAACAAAATAGCTCCTACTGACAAGAAGTGATTATTGACATTTGACTACAAAATATAATTTTATGATCTTCCAGTTCAATTGAATACCACAAATGGGTAAAACAAGTGCAAGGAGATCCAACAAGTTTTTTCCTTCTTTCTAAGTAAGGATAAAAGTTATAAACAGTCAAAAAAAAATTCAAACTCAAAATTCCCAAGCATGAGGCAGGCTGTCAGGGAGGAGTTTGGTCTCCATTGGCTTTACTTTTAGGGGTCTTAGTCTGAGCCATCAACAAGTCTAATTCTTTATGCGCAATTTTACAGGGGATTTCTAACTTCTAATTCAAATCAACTTCAACAAGTCTAATTCTTTAAGGAATCATTCAGAGGAATATATATATGTACTTGTATACAAACATATTTTGTGATTCTCAACCAGAGAGGCATAATAACAAACAAACAAACAAAAAAAAAAAAAGAAAACTGAGATCTTAGCAGTTACATTTCTTAGTGAAAAATTCACAAGATTTTTCAATTTTTCATTTGATAATAAGATTTATTCATTGCTTAGACAGTTACACTTTAGTTCTAGAGTTATGAATTTGGTTAAACCTATTAATTTTTCCTGAGTGCTCTTTACTAAAGTGGGGAATTACATCATCCTCATCCTTTGAAGTTCTACATCAACCATCCATTTGTCTTCATTTTAGAGACTGAAGTTTTACTTGATTAACCCATCCAAGAAGTACCATGATAAAATGTTGGCAACGGGATCAATAGTGAAGAAAAGCAGATTACCGGTGGTAATTGCGTTGACATAAACAGCGGACTGTTGATTTCAAAAGCACCAGAGCCTTGGACTAGCTGGGACTTGGGAGCACCATTCATCATAGATAAATCAGCATTGGATGATTCTAGGTTACAATATGAACTCAAGTTACAGGTTGTACTATTTTTCTTTGGTGTTTACTTTTATGGCTAGGATTAAGTCTATTGTAGTAGGAAAACCCTATGTATTTTTAGTTATCAACTAGCAAGTGTTGTTTGGGGATCATTGTCGTTCAAGTTTTCAAGTTAATTTTGAAGTAACTGGAATTATCCCTTAACTCCTACTTGTTTCTTGATATCATTCACTGATATCTTGCAAAAACCCACAAAAGCATGTAAGACTTTTTTAAGTTCTGAATATATATATGTTGAAATTCAACCTAGAAACTCTAATGGGTCAGGATATATACATTATAATATTAAAGGAGAGACATTGAACAAGAGAGAAACAAACATAGTAGATATCGAATGAATCTTGAAACTAAACCTAAGAAACCAAGTGGGTCGTGATGATTCAATTGCATCTCTAATCTTGAAAATTAACCTAAGAAACCAAGTGGGTCGTTATGATTCAATTGTATCTCTAAGTAGAATAATTCATAAAAATCATCATGAATAATCAAGAGGTTATTGTGAGTCACTTACATCTTACGAACTTTCTCACTCATGCGTCTCTTCTTAGCTGCCCTGCGAGAATCGAGCCCGGCGGACAAGGATATGTTGAAGATGGTGGGAGAGATCACAAGAAATATGAGAACCCATGTCTGAATATCGCGACACAACATGTCTAATGGGTCAAATGCAGATTACAGAGATTGTATTTGTAGAGAGAGAAAATGGGGAAGGTGTTTGCGGGAAGCACGGGAGAGCGCAGATCTCGTTGGGGTGTAGAGACAATAAAGCACGAGGATGAAATGATGAACTATCCTGCAATTTTAGGGGCGGAAAATTTTTTTTTTTTTTTTTTTCCCTCACCACAAAACCAGTAGCGGATTTAAATCAAAGTTATCGAACTGTAATTATAAATAAGATAATTTCACTGACACCCAATGGTTTGGCAAAAATTTCAGTCTAAAACATATTTCAAAAATAACTGCCACTCACGTTACAAACGTTTGTTCCGTTTTTCACTCACACCCCAAAAGTTAGTTAATAGGTATGTCTTACCACTTTTATATGTAAAAAGACATTCTTACCCTTTAACTTTGGTTTGACCAATTTAATTTTTTTTTAATGACTGAAATGACATATTTATCCTTATAATGTTTGACTTTTATACCCCTCACATGTTTTACACTTCTCTAACCTTCAAAGACCATCATTGTTCTCGGTTCGACGACCATCACTAATCCAATTACAGCAAGAGCTTGTTGGATTCTAAATCTCAACCTTCACCATGGAAATTGCCGACTAAAACTTGTTACGGCGAGGAAGGAAGACGGTCCAAAGACCCATTGTTCCAAGCTCAACCACATACCTCTCGCAGCGCCAAGGACGGAAGCCACATTGTTTGAACATGTCATTTGAGCATTATCGGTTAAGTTTTTGCCGTTCACTGCTGTTGCCGATAATGGGTCTTGTTCTCCTTGTGCTATTTTCCAGTTATGTTTCTCTCACTATGGTTATTTTAGATCAACTGATTGATACTCAACATAAAACCTGGGGAAATGTCTGCACTAATAATTGTCAACCTTAAATCAATCTTGTTTATTACTTTTAATGTTTTAGTACTGAATTATTACATAACTTATGTAAATATATTGTATTAAATTTGTGTGAACATTTGATTGTCTACGGAAGCATATTCCCATGTTTTGCATATGAAGAAAACCACCTTCCTGGAAGGATTTATGTCTTGTAGAATTTGAAATTTGCAACTTGACTATTTCAAATGGATTCTGCATCAATTTTTACAAATTTTTATTCTACTTTATTATTATTTTCTGGTGGTGGCAGGTTGAAGCTCCCATTAATGTTCTTCTACACCACTGTAATACCCCTAATTTAAAAGGATAGTCTCGGCATTTATTTATTATTTTTGTTGAATTTTTGCATGATTATTTGGTTTAATTATTTTATTTAATTGTTTACCTGTGTGATGTGTATTTAATTGGTATCTATTTATTTGTTTAAATTACATTTTATTACATTTTATTTTATTTAATTGATTATTAAATGTTTTAATTTAGGAAGTAATTTAGGAAGTATTTTAATTAACTATTTTATTTTCATAATTGAGGGTTTAGTTTCTTTAGCCGACACAGGATTTAATTAAGTTCTATGGGCCGGTTAGGATTTAGTTAGGGCTCTAATTAATTTAGGGTTTTGGTATAACTCTATAAATATATGGGTATACGTCTGCCAAGGGTTTCTAAAACCCTATTCACCATATTCCCGTATACAGTAAAGAGAGAAGTTGAGAGAACAGAGCGTCGTAACGGTCTGTCAAGGAGAATAACAGAGAGGACCAAGGGAGGTGTTTGGTGGATTAGATCAGAACCAGAGGAGGCTAGAAGGTAGTCAGTGGTTGCCGGAAAGCTTAGAACAACGGCGTCAAGGTTCTGTTTATAAAACTGTACAGGCAAGTTCTTCTCTTTCTCCTTCCCTTTGGCTTGTGTTCTGTGCACCTAGACAGTCTCTAGGAGATTAATTGGCCTTAAACTGAACCATGCATGTTTGATATATGATTTGCTTGATCGTTTTATCTGTGCAAAATTTATTTACAAAATAATTATAGCGCGTATGTTTTCTTGACTCTGTTTTGGCATAACGTCCCACTGTTCTAATTTTTATTTTGAATCTTACTGAAATCAATCAAGGTCTGACTGGATACTAGACGTAAATTAAGACTTCAAATTTAAATTGGAGAAAGAACAGAGGGGTTGGGATAAAACTGATCTTGCAATTTAGTTTCAGTGCCGTTCTTCAACAACGCTAGTTTAAATGGCCTGAGTAAACTCTGTAATTGCTTTCAAAACTATTGTAAACAATCTTGGGGAATGCTTTTAGACTAAATTACGAGTCCTAAGATTAGTTCAGAGACTAACAGAGGGTTAGGAATAAGCCGGAGAAGGAGCACAAGAGCTGAAACGACGCACCGGGGACGAAGGCTCTCAAAGGAAGTGAGAGCCGGCTCCATGGAAGTGGGAGCCGGCTCCCACAACAAAGTGGAGCCGGCTCTAGGGAGTCCTAGAGCCGACTCTAAGCTGGAAAAGGGCCTGCTCCAAATTCTGGAGCAGGCTCCCTTGGTATTTTTGATTTATTTTACGTTTTTTTTTTTATTTTCTACATACTATGTTCACTGTTGGAGCATGGAGACTGTTTGAATGAATTTGGAACTTTACAGAGGGATCAAGGAATGAATTTTGAGTGTTAGTAAGACTCTAAATTGAGTAAAGTTTAATTCTAAGTTGTCGGGACAAACATTGTAAAAATTAAGGCACTTAACAAATGGAATTGAATTAATTGTTGAATTAAAATTCAGCAATTTGATGGAACATAATGTGTTTATAAAACTTGTTTTAGAATGCATTCAAGTGCATGATAGGGTCATTTAATTATTAATTTTGATCTATGCATGCTTAGGAGGCTAGTTGCGGAATTATTAAATTGTTTACTGCAACTATATGGCTAATGCTTGGATTTAAACTGCTGAAATATTTAAACAATCTTCTGAATTGTTTTAGCAATTTATTGGTTAATAATAGGATTATTTAACCTATTCACATGCATGATGGAGTCCCTGACATATTAAATTTGGTCTATGCATGCTCTGGATGTTAGTTGTTGATTTGTTAAAATCGTCTCCTGCAACTATATGGTTAAATGTTTGGATTTAAATTGCTGAAGCTTTAAATAGTTTTCTGCAATTGTTTGGATGGTAGTTTTTGGTCTGTAAATTATTGAACTGTCATATATGTTGTAATTTACATGGATATGGAGGATGGTATGTACCGGTATGGGACGGTGACATACTAGGGACGGTTTAGCTCAAAACGCATAAACCTAACCTAATGGATTAATGGAATGGATTGAAAGATATCGAATCCTAATTGTGGCTAAGTCAGATCAGCTGTAACCAAGTTGGATGACTTCCTGGATTAACGGATGGTAGTTAAGTCATATCAACTGAATAAGTGGAGTGACTAACTAGTTGGTTTATTGTAGGTCAGTTTAATAAATAGTTGAACTGCTTACCCTGGATTTGGACGGACTTTATATATATGTTTATGGTACCACGAGTTGAGCTTGAGTCTTAGACTCGTTGGTTAGGGTGCGTATATGCAGTGGATGCGTAGCTGGTTATAATAGGTTGAGGTGTACCATGTTAGGTCTAGGTACTCATGCCCACCTTTGGGTGCGTATTCGCATATTGCCTTTTATTCAGGTTGAGACCCCTATTATAGACTAGTGAATGTCCCTTAGTGTGGATATATTTATATGTATGGACTAGATAGATATTGTGAGGTGTCTACGGTGTATCTGCGTATCGGGTCACTGTATGGATTGCAGTTAGATTAGAACTTGCTCGTGGGTCTGACCTACTCCTTTATTATTCTTTTCAGGGACAGGACGGTTCCAGCTTTAGAGCTTGATCGTGCTTGTCGAGGACAGTCTCACCTTCATCTGATTACGTAGGACTTCTCTCGATATTTCTAGCATTATCTATTTTCAGTTTTCAGTTTCAGTTGAACTTTTGGTTAGGGGTCCATCAGTGGATTCCCAAGTTGTAACCTTGAAGTTTTGGAGGATTGGAGTTTCATTTTTCAGTTGTCCATGGAGGATTTTATAATTAATGTTTCTTTCAGTTTTATTCCATCACTTTTGTTTCATTTTGTCATCTGTGTTCGCTTTAAAATACTTTAATTATTTGATATTCCCTCGGGTTTGGGCCTGGGCCTGATCAACCCGTGTCTCGGATCCGAGGGGTATCACAGTTGGTATCAGAGCACTCCAGGTTCAAGTGTCTCTAGGACGTTTCGTATTAAGACTTCCGCGTAGCGTTTTGTTTATATAGAGCTTATGTTTAGGATTCGTTGAATTCTTTTACGGTTCGTTTAAACTCGTACTGATGTCTGTCTTTCTATGTTAACAGCATGGTTAACACTGGAAGAGGACAGAACATGAACAGTCGATAGAGGAGAGCGGCACGTAGACAGCAGGAACGTCTACAATGTCGACAAAATGAAGAAGAGCAGCAAATGCCGGGGTTTCAGGAGGAGCAGGAGGAAGTTCAACAGATTCAGGGTCGGGACAGAGATTCAGAGATTCCTCCACACCTCAATGACCTTGTTGCTCGGGCTATAGAGGCTGGGGTAACAGCTGCACTCCGGAACCAACCACAGGTTCAGCAGGCACCTGTACCAGCACCAGTGGTTCAGACGGATTCTTGGGGAAAGGCAAGGAGCTCTTTCACAAAGGGGAGTCCACCTGTATTCTCAGGCTCCACCGATGCGAGAGCAGCTCACCAGTGGAAACAAGACATTGAGCGTCATCTTCGTTTGGTTCAGTGCACGGAAGTTCAAAAGCAAATGCTTGCTACTTTCAAGCTAGTTGGGGATGCACTACAGTGGTGGGAGTCAGTTACCACCCCAGAGGAGAGGATGACATTGTCTTATGATGAGTTCAGTATTCGCTTTGACGAGAAATATTTTCCCTATGCAGTCAGGGCAGCTATGAAAACCGAGTTTCTAAGTCTGCAGCAGGGAAACATGACAGTGGCAGAGTATGAGCAGCAGTTTACACGCTTGTCTCTTTTTGCACCGGAGGAGGTGGATACAGAGGAGAAGAAGCGTAACAGTTTCGTCAAGGGACTGATGTGGTCTATCAAGAGAGCTATTACAGGTAGTCCAGCCTATACTACCTATGCTCAGGTGGTAGACGCCGCGCTACAACAGTATCAGTTGACTGTGGACATAAGACAGGCTCGTGGTGAGAAGCGG